CACACACACACACCTATACATACATACATACACACACACACACACACACACACACACACCTATACATACATACACACACACCTATACATACATACATACACACACACACACACACACCTATACACACATACACACACACACACACACACCTATACATACATACATACACACACACACACACCTATACATACATACCAGGCACGGGTGGGGGGTGTGGGTGGGGGAGGGTGCTTGAGACCCTGCCCCTTTTGTCCGAAGTGCCCTTTTACCGGTGTTCGTCAGATTTTACCGTACAAAACTGTTATACTGTGATACAAATCGGGCACTAGGACCGTGCGGAGGCAGCCGCCTCAAGCTGAAGCCTATTTTCCCTTAGACCCGCCTACAAGCTCACTGATTGGCTCTGCCGCATCATACTAACGTGTGATTGGTTGTCCTTGCTGTCGCTCTACCTTGTAGCCATGGAGACGACAGACCGGTGTTTTCCCTGCTGACAGGAGTCTGCATTCATCTACCTGGTTTTTTTTCTGCCTGCTTCACGTCAGCTGGATGGATTTTAATATCAGAGCTTTTGTTTACGTGTGTTTGAGTCCGTGGCTAGTGTGTGTGGAGCAGTCAGGTAGCTGCATGTCTGGGACAGAAAATGAGACGAGAGAGAGACTTCTCCTGAAGTGTTGAAGAAACTCACAAAGAATCACGGATGTGTCTCACTCTAGATTCTCCGGGTCATAACTTCTGAATTACTAATCGAATAAAAATACTTCAAACGGGTTCTAAAAGTACATAAAACGAGCTTTCCAACGAGGTATTACATGATGTAATTCATGTTACTCCAAAAATCACTATTAGTGGGAAACCAGCTTTGCAGCGTCACAGAAAGAAACGGAGCGAACCGCGACGGGACAGCGAGAACCGAAGGGAGGAGACAGTCTGATCATTTCATCAGCAGCTTTTATAAAGTTATGGAAACAAACGTCACAAATAAAATCCACCTGGTTGGTCAGGTGTCCCAGAAGGCTGTTTCTGTAGATGGTGACATGAGGAGGGACAGATTAAAGTCACACTGGTTTTTATTTGAACACACAACTGTTTACTAAATGATTCAGCTTCATTCCAGCATTATTTATACGTACAATAAATATTTATTTAGCTGAAAATATCATTTTATCAGTGCAGAATTTTATTAGTTGGCTTTTTGTAATGAAATGTTTAGATTTAACCTTTTATCTGCTTATTGATCTTCATAATGCTGGTAGAAATGAAGCCACAGCTGTGAAGTAGCCCATGAGTGTTATTTGATGATACCTAGTATTTATTTTACTGTATCCCGTTCTCTGGACCGGAGCGTAGACCTGTGGTCACAGACAGGCTGCAGTCATTAAACTGGTTAACATGAGGTCAGGGGTCACACTGTTTTCTGAGGGTTTGCAACACAGTTCTGAGTTTAAATACCGGTAGTTCTTTTGACATAGTTTGCTCGAGTCATTTTGAAGTTCCTGTTTAGTAATAAATGTAAAGAAAATTCAAATCTGTTTATTTTTTTCATTTAAGCTGCAGTTTTACAGACTTTAATAAACATAAACACAAATACAAACCAGACACTGAAAGCTGAGGGTGTCCTGAAAAAAGGAGCAGAGTTACAAACATTTTACACTTATATTACAATTTTAAAGCCATAAAACAAAAAAAAAAACACTTGTTATATTTATGGTCATAAGAGGGTTAACCGTGATGAATATTCCGCCTCCCACAAAGAGATGGTAAAAGTGAATGTGAGCATAATTATATACGTTTTATTACTTTATTATGTATTTTTTATTATTGACTATTACTCCAAAGAGTTCAGATGAAGGCAACTGGACTTCTTTGGTTTCTTTAAAACGTTTCACTTCTCCTCTGAGGAGCTTTGTCAGTTCTAACTGGAATATGGGAGAGTCAAGCTCATAAGCTGTAGCTGTCTGTTGTTATTTAAAGAGCAGAAACTACTCTGAGTACCCCGCCTCTCCATCTCCTGATGAGTCGTTAGCCTCTATTGATGGTGAGTCATCGTGTTGATTAGATGCAGGAAGGTGTGACCTAGACTGAAACTGAATGAGATAAAAAAAAAGTTCTAATCTTTTAAACAACGCTGTTGGTCCTCTTGGTCCTTGTTCTGGTTTTCTAAAACCCGGTGTTAAAAACCTTGGTGTGTTTTTAGCGGTTCTTTTAATCTTTACAGACAGGTGAGTGCAGTGGTCCAATCAGGTTTTATCATTTAAGGCAGATAGCAAAGGTGAAGCCATACCTTCCTGCTAATGTCCTCGAACATGTCATCCACCTGTTCGTGTCTTGCTGATTGGACGACTGCAACTCCCAGTATTCTGGCCTGGACCAGTCCTCCCCACACCGACTTCAGCTGGTCCAAAATGCAGCGGCTCGCTTGCTGACTGGAACCAGCAAGTGGGATCACATAACCCCGGTTCTGGCCTCTCTCCATTGGCTTCCTGTCTCTTACAGGATCCGTTTCAAAATTTTACTTTTTGTTTTTAAATCCCTTCATGGCCTGGCCCCATTTTACATCTCTGAGCTGCTGTCCGCTTACGTCCCTGCCAGAACCACGAGGTCCAGCTCTCAAGCTCGTTTAACAGTTCCAAAAACCCGCCACAAGACTCGCGGCGACAGAGCGTTCTCTGTGGTTGGGCCCAAACTGTGGAACAACCTACCTCTCAACATCAGGACCACACAGAGTCTAGAGCATTTTAAATCCCTTCTTAAGACGCAATTTTTTGATTTGGCTTTTATTGCAGGCTGACCTCAGCATCTTAATAGTTTTTAACAGTTTTTATCATAGACTGTGACTGTTGTGTGCTCATCTTATTTTAGGTTTTTATTGTTTTGTTGTATCTTGAACCTTTATCCGTTCTTTATTAACATTTCCAGTAGCACTAAGCATGCTAATGAAGTACATAAAATTCTGCTGATCATAGCTTCATTGTGGATATATTTATATATGTTCTTTTGATTAAGATGAGTGATATTAATACAAACTTAATGTTACTGAAATGTAGGAACATTTTTGTTCGTAAAATATCTAACTATAAATATCAGATGGGAAAGAGGGAACTATACAACACCAATTTAATCCATATTAAGTCACGCGACTCACGCCCATCTACTTCTGGACCACCGGTCCCCGGAAGAACGAAAAAATAAATGCAAGTCAACGGGGCTAATACCGCCCTTTTCTAATTCCGGTTGGTATGTTCCATGGATTTCACAAATGATGTCCGTGAATTTTAAAGATGCATTTTGATACCAAGAACGTGCTTATTTTTGAATGGGGGAAATATTATAATTTTAGGTGTGAAAATAAGTCCAGGACTACAAATGCGCTTCACCAAAGTGACGTCATCGAACCAGACGCGGAGAAAACCGAGGGAAAATGGCTGTAAGTTCAGCTAACTTCAAATCCTTCCTTCAGGAGGAAAGAACCACCATATATCTGGTCATGTGGTGAGTAGCAGCTACGCTAGGGGGGAGGAGATTCTCTGGTGATGTCATATATGCGACGTATTAACATCTGATTTGTAGTCATGCTAATTACGAATTTTTACAAGCTGATAAATCTCAAAGTACGTGACAGGCATGGTCGAAACACCTATCATTAGTTTTTAGTTAAATATTAGAACAACTTACTGTATGTGTGATCCAGGGCGTAAGGCAAGGCGGATGAGCAACAATAACTCTTTTAGCCCCGTTGAGTTGCTTTCATTTTTCCGTTCTTCCAGGGTCCCATGAGCCGACCAGAAAGGGAGGGGACTTGGGATCCCTATTGAGCCTTTTATAACAAGAGTCTAACATTTCAGCCTCATAATTTTGTTGGTTTATTTCATATTTTTAGCAGCAGACCACGGTCTCGTTTAACTTGAAACATGTCAGATGAAATATTCGATTAATCAGCAGATTCAATAGAAAATTCAGATACTAAAATATTCAATAGCTGCAGTCCAATTTTCAACCTTTAACAGAAAAACACACAAACAAGAAGACACAAAAATACAACCTGCACCAAACCGAGGTACGTCTCAGAAAGTAAAGATTCACAAATACAACATGGTGGACAAGTGAACGATCACTCATGAACTTGTTGGTTTTTTTTTTTATGTAAACCAAACTCGTACGTATTTTGCCTATGATTGACTGTATTTTGTTTACTTTCGTGATCTTAATTATTACAGAAAACTGCGTTTATAAATGCATCAAAAGGTCTGAGCCATATGTTCGTGTCCTACACGAATTTTTAAATAACACAGGTCTGATCTAAAAGAATAACCTCTATAAATCCATCTAGATGCACTCCGGTACTTCTGGACTCCAGACGAGTCCCGTTAGCATGACTGCAGCAACACTGCTAACCGTGTTAGCTCCGGTAAGGAAAAAACAAGTAATTTGGGAAAGCTACGACACACACACACACACACACACACACACACACTCCAACACACACACACTCCAACACACACACACACTCCAACACACACACACTCCAACACACACACACACTCACTCACACACGCACTCACACACACACACACACACACACTTCGACTCACACTCTCACACGCGCGCACACACACTCCAACACACACTCACACTCACACGCGCACACACACATACGCACACTCACACACACACACACACGCGCACACACACACACACACACACACACACACACACACACACACACACACACACACACACACACACACACACACATTTATAATCTAAAAGATGGTCCTGGATTAAGTGGAACAACGAGTCAAACTAATGAGTTAGTCCAGCATCAGGAAGATTAATTCTGGTAACCTGGTTGAATATTTCCAGAGTTATGAGTGTTTACACGCAGCGGTACAACTGGCAGCACATTAGTGTATTTATCTGAATAATATTGAATTATGTTGGCACTGATGATGGAGCTAAGACCAGCTGAGAAGTCGTCAGAGTAGAGCTCCTGGTGGAGCACAGAAATGTAAAATCAAATATAAAAGTAAACAAACTGAACCGCTTTTGGTTCTGAAGATGAACAGAATCCTCATTGATGTCCAAATCGGGTCGTGGGTCTTCTGAGTCAAATGGTCGAAAACATGTCTGCTCCTCCGGTAGTGATATCCAGCTAGCGGGGTTTGGTTGAACTACTCCGGTAATCCAATATCCGTTCTGGTCGCCGTATCCCAGAGGAAAAACAAATGTGAGCGACTAGCAGAGGCTTCAGAAGCTACATCTGGCACGTCGTTCTGCTACAACGCTAACGCAGAAACACCGGAGACGGGGTTGTTTACTACAGTGGTTTCAGCAGAGCTCCTTGTGAAACGTCACCAGCTGTCCAGGGCTCAGACCGGAGGTTGGGTTCTGGTTTTTCCCGCTCCGGTCGGAAACATCGGATTTTTTTAAATTCCAGCCGTGAAAATCCAAAAACCTTTTTCATCTGAGGTTTTATACGTCTCTACGCGTGCTGGTCAGAGGAGCGTTGCCTCTGGCCGATATCTTTAATGTACAGCCCTGAAATGACCATAAAAAATTCTTTATTTAAATAAAAAATGTTCTGTTTTTTATGTAGCGCCTTCTAGAGACGCACAGCCCCCCAAGGCACTGTACAACACTCAAGGCATTCACACGCTAGCTGCATCATAGCCACAGCTGCTCCAGGGGACATTGACTAAAGCCACTGGTCCTTCCGACCACCACCAGCAGGTGTGGGGGTGAAGTCTCGTGCCCAAGGGAATGAGTGACATAGACAGAGCCTGGGTTTGAACCAGCAACCTTCTGGTTACAGGAGGATAGGATCCAGCCCTGATGGCTGTTCGAGTCATCGACACATTTATTAAACAGAGACTGCTGTTTGTTCTAATATCACGTTTATTTGTTATTGATGCTTAAAATAAAGCATGCTTGTGTTTGGGTGAGTTGGGCCGGGCCCCTCGGCCCCACTTGCCTCCTGGTCCAGAAACCCAACATGGCAGCACCTGTAGGGCAGAGACGCTATGTTTAGATGATCCGGTCCAGTTCTGATTAAAAGACTGACGCCTAAGAAACTGGAACAGAATTAACATCTGGATTTCTGCAAGCACACACACACACACCCCACACACACACACACACACACACCACACACACACACACACACACGCGCGTACGTGTGCGTGTGCGCGCGTGTGTGTGTGTGTTGGAGTTTGTGTGCGTGCGTGTGTGTGTGTGTGTGTGTGTGCGTGTGTGTGTGTGTTGGAGTTTGTGTGTGTGTGTGTGACAGCGTTTACTGGTCCCAGTAAGAACAGCCATGGAGATGTCTGGACCAGCGGAGGAAACGTTTAGATGTGTGATTAACTTCTATTTCCCCACAAAGGCAGGTTTTATAATGAAATGTGTTGAAAATGTTTAACCCACCAGATCACTATGATGACATCATACAGGTGAATGAGCACAAAGCTGACCAGTATTTACTCTTTGTCACACAGCAGTTCTCTGTTGGTTCTGAGGTGACCTCAGAGCTGGTCATGCTGGAGCGACCCAGCCCGTTGCTGCTCTGTGTAATTGTGTTCGGGCCTGTTTGACGGGTCTTCCCTCATCCATCCAGGCTTACGCTGCTGCCCTCCTTCTGCCTTGCTTTCATTCAGACAGATTGGACTTCCAGATGCTACACTCACTGTCCACAGAACTCGAGGAACCAGAGCAGAACCAGTGCAAGCTTTAAAAAGCTGCTGAAACCTCAGCTGTTCAGGCTGGCTTTGGTGGACCTCCTGCTGATCCTTCCTCTCTACCAAATGTGCCTTTCTCTGGATCCAGCATTACCTTTTCTCTTTTTCCTCCTTTTTCACTTTAAAGATTTCCATTTTCCCCTTTCATCATTTACATGATTTAAATTGTTTTTTTTTACTTTATTTTTTACTCTTGTGAAGCTCCTCATGATTTTGATCTATATTTAAAAAGTGGGTTCTTCAGCGTTGGCGTTGTCTCCTCTCCTGCACTGATTTATCCCCACAAACAACCCCTTTGGTCATTCATTAGCTCTCCTGTTCTGTTTGTCAAAATGTTCCAACAAACAAACATCCATCCATCCTTATCCGCTTGTACAGACTCAGGTCGCGGGGGCAGCAGCCTAAGCCGAGACGCCCACTAGGCCGGCTGTTCCGGGGGGATCCCAAGGTGTTCCCTGGCCAGGTGAGTCCCTCCAGCATGCCCTGGGTCTACCTTTAGGTCTCCTCCTGCTGGGACGTGCCCAGTAAACCTCACCAGGAAGGCGTCCAGGAGGCATCCTGACCAGATGCCCGAGCCACCTCAACTGGCTCCTCTCCATGTGGAGGAGCAGCGGGTCTACTCTGAGCCCCTCCTGGATGACCGAGCTTCTCACCCTATCTCTAAGGGAGAGCCCAGCCACTCTTCGGAGAAAACTCATTCCAGCCGCTTGTATCCGTGGTCTCGTTCTTTCGGTCACTACCCAAAGCTCGTGACCATAGGTGAGGGTAGGTACGTAGAGCGACCGGTAAATCGAGAGCTTCTCCTTCTGACTCAGCTCTCTCTTCACCACGACAGACCGGCACAACGCCCTCATCACTGCAGATGCAGCACCAATCCGCCTATCGATCTCACGCTCCAGTTTTCCCTCACTCGTGAACAAGACCCCGAGATACTTAAACTCCTCCACTTGGGGCAGGACCTCGTCCCTGACCCGGAGAAGGCATTTACCCTTTTCTGACTCAAGACCATGGTCTCAGATTTAGAGGAGCTGATTCTCATCCCAGCTGCTTCACACTCGGCTGCGAACCGCTCCAGCGAAAGCTGAAGATCACGTTCTGATGAAGCCAACAAACGTGAATATTTTTGTGTGATGTTGGTGGTATGATGCATCAGATCAAAGCACTCACGAATCTGATGGGATCTTTTTTTGGATCAGCAGAAAGAAAAGACAAGCAGGCTCTGTCTTTGTTTTCTAGAACACTTAGTGCAACATTTTTCTGCTCCGTTTACAACTCGCTATAAAAACCGGACTGGCAGAGAGGTTCGAGTGCTGACTAAATGTTAAAACCGCTGCCCTGGGCGCCCTGACAGAGGCGAGGCCTGCCCAGCACAGGCACCACCGGTCTCTCTGACCACCACCAGCAGGCAGAAGGACCGGTGCCCAAGGACACAATGACTGCGACAGTCTGAGCAAGGCTCAAGCATGCAACCTTCTGAATACGGGGCGGACTCTGAACTGTATTTGAATATTTACTGTGTGAAGTGCCTTGAGACGGCTTGTCGTGATTTGGTGCTGTATAGATAAAATGAATTGAACTGAATTAACGCCTCTGCCACCGTTGACACATTACAAGGTCACGTGGGTGTGTTACGTTAGGAATTTGTTAGGAATTATTGCAAAAAAGGTGCAGCAAACGAGCGTTACACACACCTGTATTTTTAAGGCATTGCTTGATGGGGAAGGGGTTTGCTTTAAGATTTAGTTCATTTAAAGAGAAGCTTCTTCAGGAACTCCTACCCTGCCTTTAACTTCCTGAGCTACTTTAAACCACCTTAAATTCACCTGCATGTTGATTTAAAATAACTAAACAACAAAGATGTTTTCTGACGCAGATTCAGAGCCACCTTTCACAAGAAATACCACCGTTTATCTCCATGGAGTAAATGAACCACGCCAATTAAATCCTGTTATCACTGGTTGGACTGTAGGAAGACCAGTCTAACTGGAGTGTGTTGCTGGGCATCCAGTGTTCCCAGTTCGGCATCATTCTTGCGTAATGATGAGTGCTTTTATAAAAGGTCAGTGACACCACCCTGCAGTATCTATGTGCACGTGTTCTCACAAAAGCAGAGAATCTGGAGGAGACATTTGGCACTGCTGCTATTTATTACGACCCTCCGTTGACACACAGAAATAGCCTGGTTCTGACATGGTGCTGGCCCGGCTGAAGCTCAGGTAGCAGCGTATTTGATCACATTTCTCCTGCCAGCACTGCTGTGAGCCAACCAGTGATGTAATGGCTTTTTACGTCCTCCCGCCCCGTGGCTCCTCCCAGCCAACCAGCGGTAAGCTCTGCAGGAACAGGAAAAGCCATCTGGGCATGGTGACTTTTCTTGGTGGGGGGCGGGGGATGGGGGGTGTCAGCATCCCTTTGTTTTTCTGCTTCTCCACTTAATTTGTTTCTGTCGCTCTTTGGTGTCTGTAGTGCACTTCCTGCTCTGTCTTTGCTGCTACTGAGCTAAAATCATGGCCTTCTCTGAAGCTTTAGATTACTCATTCATATTCTTCTGCATCTAGTGAACAAAACGTGTGGATGAACAGTTGGTTCAGGTACGCTCTGCAGGCTGCCTTCCACTCACACTTTCAATCTTGGACATGACATAAGATTGGCGAAATGTGGGCCTTGTAAAGGTAAGAAAGCATGATCATGTTAGTTATGTCTGTAGCTGGGAAACCTGCTTTAGTCAAGTTTAGATGTGTCTTCCACTACATTTTCATGTTGTCCTTGTCTGCTGCCAAAATAACCTCTTGTCTTGTGCCGATCCCTAAGAAAACCGGTGTCAGCGGCACGTTGTCCAATCTCAGGCCTATTGCGTTGACATCACATTTAATGAAATGTTTTAAGAGAGTCGTCCTTAAATGCCTAAGAGAACAAGTTGTTTCCTTCCAAGATCCCCTCCAGTTTGCATATAGGAAGGGTGTGAGTGTGGACGATGCCCTTCTGTATCTGCTGGACATTATTTATAAACACCTTGAAAAAGCCAGCAGTTCAGTGCGACTTATGTTCTTTGATTTTTCTAGTGCTTTTAGTACCATCCAGCCCCATATTTTAGGAAATGCATTATTGGATTTTAAGCTGCACAGTTCCACCACTGCCTGGATTTTAGACTCTCTTAAACAGGCCTCAGTTTGTGAGGGTTGGGGGTAAGTGCTCGGACTTGATTTTTACGAACTCTGGTGCACCACAGGGGACGGCTTTATCACCTTTTTATTTACACTGTATACAGCTGCCTATAGGCACAGTTCACCATCTTGTCACCTGCAGAAGTTCTCCGATGACACTGCCCTACTGGGCCTGATCTCCCGGGGTGACGACCTGGCTTACAGGAAGGAAGTTAACTCCTTTGTTGGATGGTGTGATGCAAATTTTCTACAACTCAATGTTGGCAAAACACAAGAGCTGGTTATTGATTTTAGAAAGAAAAAACAAACATTCTCTCCAGTGGTCATCAAAGGCCAACCTGTAGAAACTGTGGAGACATATAAATATCTCGGGGTGTACCTCGACGATAAGTTAAACTGGAGAAGGAACAGTCATGCTGTTGTTAAAAAGGCCCAGTCCAGACAGTTTTTTCTTAGGAAGCTAAGGTCCTTTGATATAAGTAGGATGCTCTTGAATGTGTTTTATCAGGGGATCATGTCCAGTGTGTTGTTTTATGCTGTGTTGTGTTGGGGCAGGAGCCTCACTGCTGAGGACACAAACAGGATCAACAAAATGATCAAGAAATCTGGCTCAGTGGTTGGCAAGGCTTGGACTCATTTGACATGATCCTAAACAAAAGGATGAAGAGGAAACTTAAGACAGTTATGACTCTGGAGGATCACCCCTCCACCAGATTTTTAAGGATCTCGGGAGCTCTTTCAGTGGGCGAATGTGAACGCCCCGGTGCTCCACTGAACGTTTTAGGAACTCTTTTATTCCTGCTGCCGTGCATTTTTACAATGAGCATTTCATATGATTGTATATTTGATATTTTTATCATGATTGTGGCTTATAGCAGTGACCAGTGAATGTTTTATTGTGTGGATGTGCATGTTGTTTTTACTTGTCCAAGGCAATTCAATTTCCCCCTTGGGGATTAATAAAGACAACCTTGAACCTTATGTTGAACATAGAATGTTCTAGGTGATGTAACGAGAAGAAACATCTAGAAGATGTCCTCTTTAAGCCTAATTTATACAGAGGGGCAGACATGTTGCTCTTGGACTTCTCTGTCACCTGGGGAGAGTTCCTTGCCAGGACAACAAAGGATGTAGCTCTTTTCTTTGGTATTCTGCCACCATAACACTCATGTATCTGGTCCGCGATGGTGTATTTACTCGTGTCTATATATGTCAAAGACTTCATTCTCCTCCACCTCTTCATGCGGTTGCTACCTCTAAACCCACGTTTCTCATCATTTCCATCCACGAATAAGACGTTAACCCTGTATTTTTGTACTTCTTCAGTCACGGGTGAATAAACGTTCATGTTTTCTGATTTTTTGCGAGGCGTTCTTCAATCTGTTCTGTGTCTGCCGCTAAATATAATTTAACTTTTTGACGGCGCTACAGCGGGGCTGTTGACAAATTTCCAGTAAGTAGCTTCCTGACCCGTCACAAGATTGTGGTCTCCGTCACTTTGGACAGATGTTAAAAAATTCGGGCATTTCTCCGTTACCCTCTGTGGGCCTGTCGGAGAACTTTTGCGTCATCGCATAATGGTGTTGCTTGTATCCACCAACGTAGATGGAGAGTTACAAATTAGGCCTTACTCATCTCGGCTCCTGTTCCTTCTCTCTTGTTACATATAACAGGCATCAGTTGCTGTTGCACCCATTGGCTGTTAAAATACTGGACAAACCCTCCATAGCATTCTGAAATGGGCAGTTCCCATCATCGCCATCTTGCCCGTGTCACACGTCTCGTCATGCCTACAGTCCAAAAATGGGCAGAGGTGGAACTCGGAGCAGAAATAGTGTGAGGATCTGACTCTGCCATTGTTCCTAGCTACAAGATAACCAAAGCTAACTGAGGTGTGCAGACATTTTTTTCCAGAAAAACTCGGTTGAGCGACTCAAATGTGAAGCACCAACCAACTGACCAAGCTGTGGAATTTCTGTGGTCTCCCTCAGAGAACTCTACAGGCTTCACCGCCGCCGCCGCCGAGGAATTCCGGTGGCTGACACGTACTCGCTGGACAAAGCCTTACAGTTCTTCAAAGTCGGTCAGGAGCTGGCTGGCTCCAACCGACTGGAAGATGACAACAACCTTGAAGAATACAATGAGGCTGGCTGCCATAGCCCTTCGTCCCTCCTGGAAAACACGGAGGTCGACGAGCCTCCCTCAGCAGGTTCCTCCTTGCCAGCAGTCAGAGCACTGCTCCTGGAGCTACCTGCCATCATCTCCGCGGCTGCGGTCCGCAAGGGGCTAGCCGTCCCAGAACTGGCTCCACCTGAAGCAGATGATTTGGCGGGAAGTTTTGGGCCACATAAGCATGCTGTCCAGACCCCGTCTGGCCATGCTTTCCCGCCGCCATGAGCAGCTGGTACGCCGCCTTCTCCGAGCCTGCTAATCTCAACGCACCAGTCTCCACATATGCGCCGATAACAAGTCGAGGGCTTCTCTGACCAGGGCTGTCCAACCATTCCTCCACTGGAGCTATACCTGGCCTCGCTGTTTGGCGCCAAGAACCACCTCGCTGGCCAGCGAGCAGTTCCCGCTTCCAAACACAACCAGCTCCTGGCATGGCTGACCGATCGCACACACCAGTGCGCCTTCCAGACTGGCGCTGCAGGAAATAAAATCGCCCTTCTTGCCTTTGGCGTCTCCAAAATGGTGGAAGAGCTCGATGTTCCTGACGAGTCAAAAAACATCATTAGCAAGACTGCTGATGCCATTCTCAATCAGTGCGTGGCTGTACTCACCGGTTCTGCTCACATTGCTGCCTGGCAGACCCTCATCCAGCGGGCCTTGTGGCTCAAGGCCCTGCCCTCCATTCCCGAACACGTGCACAGAGAAATGCTGGAAGGCCCCATCACCTCTGATGTTCTGTTTGGTCCTCATTTTAGGAGCGCCATCAAGAGAGCTCAAAAGACAGCTGAACTGTCAGCCACGGTGCGAGACCTGGTCCTCCCCCGGTCCACTTCTCACTCTGGCCGCTCCACCAGAGGATGGGACAAACTAGTTTTTCAGCATCCTTCCTGGAAAGGATGCTTCTAATCTTAGCAATATTCCGAAGGTGGAAAAAGAAAATCCAACAAACCTGTTTAACCTGGGATTTGAATGACATGTCCTGGTCAATGACACCAAGGTTCCTTACTTTGTTCTCGGAGATTAATGTAATGCCATTCAGGTCAGGTGATTGGCTAAGCAATTTCCTTTTCTGGATTTCTGGTCCAAAGATGAGAACTTCCGTCTTGTCTTGATTTAAAAGCAAAAAGTTTAGAGTCATCCAATTTTTATGTCCTCAAGACAAGCCTGTAATCTACCCAACCGATTAGGTTCATCAGGGTTAAAGGATAAATATAGCTGAGTATCGTCAGCATAACAGTGGAAGTTTATCCCATGCTGTCTAATGATTTTACCAATTGGGAGCATATATATAGTAAAAACAATTGGTCCAAGCACTGAACCCTGTTGTACTCCACAAGTAACCCTGGAGTATGAAGAAGATTTGTCATGTACATTTACAAAATGAAATCTGTCAGACAGGTAGGATTTAAACCAGCCTAACGCTGTTCCTTTGATCCCTACAACACGTTCAAGTCTTTCTAAAAGAACATGGTGATCAACTGTGTCAAAGGCAGCACTGAGATCTAACAAGACTAGAACAGACACAAGATTCTTATCTGAGGCCATGAGAATATCATTTGTAACTCTCACTAATGCAGTTTCAGTGCTGTGATACTCTCTAAAACCAGACTGAAATTCCTCAAACAGAGCATTAGTGTTTACATGCTCACATACTTGGATGGCCACTATTTTCTCCAGGACTTTGGATAAAAATGGAAGGTTAGATATTGGTCTATAATTCATTGGGTCATCTGGATCCAGAGAAGGCTTCTTAAATGAAGGTTTGATTACAGAAACCTTAAAATCTTGTGGTACATATCCATTTACTAAGGATAGATTGATTACATCTAGAATGGGGGCAGTAACCAAAGGAAATGCATCTTTAAATAATTTGGTTGGGATTGGATCCAAAATGCAAGTTGACGGTTTAGATGAAGCTAATATTTTTGATAACTCTGAAAGCTCAACTGGATCAAAATGGTTCAATGGTGATTCCCTGACTCCTGGACCGAGTTCGGTTGGAACAGCTCTCGGTGATTCTGGTAGCTCCCAGACACTTGTCCGCGTCATGGGCTCCAGACTTACAAGCGCTGGTGTCCAGCTCCCCGTGGATGCTCCCGTGGAGGGAGGACGCCCTCCTCCAGGTGGGAGGAATAATCAAACATCCTCCAGAAATAGGCCAACGGCTGTGGGCCTGGCTGCTGAGCGATCACGCTTGGAAGCTTCTGGGCTGACGTGTGATGTGGTCAACACGATTCAGAGTGTGCGCACGCCCTCTACCGTTGCCTCTTATGCTGCTAAATGGGCAACTTTCCAAAAATGGTGCACAGAGCGGAATGTTCAAGCGCTCTCCTGCC